CGAGAAGAAGGGCGTTTCACTCATTCCAGTATGTATAGAGTTCACTGGTGGCACGAAACTTTCTCCCCCCCCCCCTTTCTCTCTCTGTCTCTCTCTGTTTATTGAACGCATAGAACACACAACTCTAAAACGCAGACTTAAAATCCCTAACGCTTCGGCTGATCCTCGACGGTGATTTCGCTCCCTGTTAAGAGCGACTATGCGGATGCAGCTCTGCGTCGTTAGCTTCAATTGATTTCATTGCCTATAAAATCAATGTTTAGGCTCGCTGGAAAGGGTTTTGCGGCGGTAAAAAAGGGGGTGCGAGGTACGGCACAAAGTTGTCGCTCACCGGGGCAGCGCGACGCGTGGATTATTCGCTTTCCTGTCGGTAGACATTGCGCAATTGAAATCTACGTCGGTGGTCACACGCGAGCACAATCGTTTGCGGGCGAAGAGGGTTGGAGCCGACTGGAGGTAAACCGAGAGGGTTTCGAACGTGCCCGAAACCTACCCGCCGATTTCGAGCGTTCGCCAACCGTGCGTACCCCCGCCCCTTTATGGACTCTTCGAATTAATCGTGTCGCGAGTTTACTTTTGCTTTCAAATTCAATCTTACGTTCCGCTGCTCACCGTGCGGCGGCTCATCGAGTTAACGAGAAATCCCGTATTCGCTTTCAAATCGTGCGATGCAATTTTAATCACAATCAGGACTCGTGTACGATTTAACATACGAATACTCCATTTTACCCTTGCAGAAATTTTTTCTTCAAAATTTACCCGTGCTACGAAAATTGGGATTAACAATTGATAAGTTACAGTGGGTAAATATATTTCTCAATATTTTACTTAAAAAATAGTAATTTCAATTTCGAATGCTATAATACAGTTTCTCTCCGTTATTATTTCGCTCGCTGCGCCAAACCTTATCTCAGGGGTCACGAATCTCACTGGAAATTTCAATAGTTTATATGGTAAGATAGGCGATCTTCAGCAGCTACGAACGTTTCTTGCACGACGAGAAAGCATCTGACACAGAGATTAGGCCAAGCGCGCGCAAAATTGTCTCGCAACGATATGCAAATCGCGGCATAAATGCTAATTGTAATTGCCCATGAAATGAATTCAAGGGCTCCCTCCCGGCGGAGGGTTCGCAGCTTAGTAGCGATCTTAGCCCTCCGAGTCTGCCGAGTATCGAGCGACAGGGGTGCGTGTGTTATATTTTTTAAAATTCCACATCGAGTTGATTTTGCAAACGGAATAACAATGTTATTCATTCGTTTCATAATAAACCAAGAACACTTTTTGCAAGCAGTACATCCTTAGCGCAAAAAAATAATATCCCGCTAAAAAGTTATCGGAAAACACTATTCGCATACGAATATCGTTAGCCACTTTTTATTCACCCTACACTCTCCGCATGAACATCCGAAAAGGCAAATTGCCAAAGAGAAAGCTAAAACAGTGGCTAATCGGAGAGTGGGCTCGGTTTTACGGCAAACGAAACGAAATGATATGGTTAGGGCGTTAATTTGCGTCCCGGTATATATCGCTAACGAGAACAGAGGACGCGGTGAGTCGGGCAGTTTCAAATGAAATCTGATAATACACACTTTCATAACAGAGTTTGGAAATAACTTCTTTGGATAAACGTCGCGTAGTTAAACCGAAGACTTTGATGTCGATTCAATCATGCCGATATTGCAAGGCACGTCTCTCGATATGACTGCGCGTGATAAACTTTCCACCTTGCCACCGCGATGCGCGAATTTAACTTGCGAAATTGCGCGGGGATTAAGATCTCGCCTCCAGATCTGAGCACGTACTTGCCGTCGGACGAGCCGGAATTATGCGGGTGACAGTTTGTAAATGATCTAGTTTACGACGCGAGAAAGTGAGGGATATGGTGCGGCGTATCCCGAAGTAAGGCGGGAAGGAAAACGGTGATAGGAAGAGAATGAGACAGATTGGGAGGGAGAACAAAGAATGGAGGATGAGATTGGAGGACAGAAGGATCTTATCAGTTATTAATTTTCAAAGCAATTAGAGTTTTTAATCGTTTATGCGAATAAAGGGAACTGGTAGAAATCGAATATACTCGAGTGCGTTTAATCGTAATAAACGTGCATTTATTGCACTTAGCTGGACAAGCTGAAGTTAGACCCCTCAGGGGCTCACATGTGTGTGAGTACGGGATTGGCAACCCCGAGGTACCCCAGCCACTCAAGGCGTGAGAGTATAATCTGGCTACTCCGATCTTCTGGGGATACGAAAGTGGAGATCATACTACGCTTATTTGTATCTAAACCGTATAAATCCAATTTTTTAAATATAAAAGATTATAAATACTATTGCGAAGTCGGAGCTTGAGCAAGCTGATCGTTGGAGCAAATAAAAAAAGAATTAAATCAGACGGCATTACGTTAAAAAGTTTGGGGCTCTAGTTCAATGCGACTCTGCGCGCGGTATAAATTTTCGCTAACAATATATGTACGTCGGCAGCTTTTGAACAGCGTTTGATGAACACCAGGCCCGCCTTCTCCCGCTCGGACGCCGGACAAACCGACGGACGGATTGACATTTGCATACGATGGACCCGTACGGGCGTTAACTGCTCGGGGACGCGGAATGAGCTACAAGTCACCTGGTACCAGTAATTGAAATGAGGGTAACTTTGAAGAGGGGTCGCTCGAACAAACGAGGAGCTCGAAAAGTTCTTTCAACGACATATCGTACATTCACGTGATATTGAACGTAATTAAAACGATGGTAGACTTCTTTAAAAAAAAAAAGATACGATTAATATCGATGGAACGATTGAAAGAAGGAATGTACGAGTGTTCCAGAATTGTCATCACTGGAGTGAATAATTGCAGAAGCATCAGTAAAACAATTCATTGGGCCTGGATTCCTTTTGTAACGCGATCATAATGTTATTACTGTAAAACCTGAAAATGTATAATCTCGTTTGGTGAAAAGCTTTTTTGCTCTTAGTTCACCGTTGACAGTATAACGTATTTGATTTAAATCATGGCAGAGTGCGCGTTCCAGAGAAAGGCAAGAAAAATCCGTTGGGTGGGCTGGTTGTGAAACACGGTTAATAAGTGGAACGCCGCTGGAAAATGCGGCAGCGAGCAGGCACACAAGCTGAAATGCCCCTCGAAACTTTACGGACTATGAAAGCGAAATGAGAATGGTCGGGCGATACTGCGGCGAAGCCGGGGATGGGAAGTTTAATTAAATATCACACGACATATTATGGAGGGCGGGGACGCCGCGCATGGTGTCGATGGCAAGTAACGTCGGGGACAGCCAACGAGACCGAAAAGTTCGTGCGAACGAGCGAACGAACGGCGCTCGTAGCAACGGACAACGGCGAGAATGCTGCCGGAAGTTAACGGAGGGCGGCGAACCGTCCGGACATTTCAGCGTCATCGGTACCCTTTTATAAAAGGGCCAGTCTGAAAATTCCATTCGGTCCACCCTCGCGCGCGCGCGCGCGCACGCGTTTCCCTTACGTTCACCCCCATCGACGCGACTGCTGATTCAATTCTCGCGAAAGGAACGGCATTCCTCGAATGGCAAGGACGACAATTTACTTTTAATCTTATAATGTCTCCGTCGAAAGTCCGCGGAGATTTCATCGCGAGATGGCGAAGGAAAAAAGAAACGTTGGAGCAAATATTCGATGTACCAATAACAAAGGAAGCTAACAAAGTGAATTGTTCCTCTCGTAAGTAAACCGCTCCTCTTGTAAGTAAATTATTCCTCTCTCGTTTGAGAAGAGCAGGGAAACAAAACGGCACATGTAATACACTTAGTAATATTATCGTGTCGCTGGGAAAACACGTGGCAGGCACGAGTCGAGAGGTCACATGTCTCCCTTGTCCTATACGAAGGACGCAAATCTTTGCACAGGCCTCGCGTTGATCCTTGCCACATTCACAATGACTTGCGAATTAAAAGCCCATGAATATGGTAAGGATGCAAATTCCGCCGGTGTTTACTCGGGATCAGTGTTACACGGCAATCTGCATACTCGAGTGTCGGGATGCCCGGTGACGCGCGACGAGGGTTGCGAATCAGGTTTCGTATCGTACACGCGGGACAATCGTGCGGGGTTAATCACGAAGCCACGGCATTCCTTCTTGAGGATACCGCGCGGCAGGAATTTAATCCGCACTAGCTCTCGCTAGCGTAGAAATTTCCGAAGTTTCCGCGCCGCTCAAGACCGTGTGAGGATATGAGAGTTTGAGCTTCTAATTCGCGTGGAATCTTCCGTCCGGCAGTTTTGCAATCTCACCGAATCGGGCGAGTATCATCCACCGCGGAAAAGAGACGATCCCCTATTTCGGCCGATCCCCCCCCCCCCCGTCGATTAATCCGTTAGCCGCTCGCGACCAACCTGTGCGTACCGTTCAATTATCGAGGGGCTCTCTTCTCCCTCTCTTACCCGACACTAACTGAGTTGTTACCTCGATAATTCGTACGTCGTAGTATCGGCCGTAACACCGGCGGCTCGCCACGTTAATTTGCGGCCTGGCATGAGAATTTCCGCTTAACTGCATTATCCCGGAACTTATCCGTACATCAGTGATCAATCAATGTAGAATCCGTACATTTCGTCAATATTCAGCGTTACGGAAGCAGCGGCTCATGCTTCGAATATCATAATTAATTTTATCGCACTTACCTTATTACATTTAGTATTATATTATATTACGTAAGAAAACAATTAAGAGCTTTTATCATTTAACATTATATAATAATGCAATTGAAAGCATTTAGCATTACGTTTTAATTATATCGTCGATCACTGATATAGAATCGAAAAATGTAATTATACATTTTTCTTCTTTTTTGAAGAAATAGGATGCGTGGACTTTTTAAACATTTCCCTCTGTTTCTCAAAAGACTGACGCTATTTTCATGTTTATATAACAACTATTATATATGATTCGGTTAGAATTAAATCCTTGTATTAGCTCGACCAGAAATGCTGGCTTAAAGAAAAGACTTGCCTGTGTACGGTCGACAGTAGTTGCGATTTGCTCTGCTGTAAACCGTCGGCAAAGACAACTCGGCTCCCGGCTCCACGTACGCTTTGCTCTTGCTGTCTCTAGGGTCGCTGTATTGTTCCACAACCTCGATTTCCGCCTGCAAACAGAACACAAATTGTTTCCTTCCGTTTCCACGCGAAAGAGATTCATGCATCTTCCGAAATAACGATCTGGCGCCTTTATTAAAGAACGTAGATCTCGATAGACAATAACAGTTTGTTCGACAACGACTCGTAACCACGCGAAACGGACGATGTGTTGTAAAACAAATTGGCCTGGATCGCTGTAATAATAGTAATTTAATAACGCGCGTTCTCGGCGTTCTCGCACAGTAATATTCGAATTTATCCCGGGAGAGAATATCTCCGAGAAGGATTATCGTCAGAGACAGCTTCGCTTAAATTTACACCGTAGCTCGTTGTCATTTTCTGGTCCTGAATGCAGCCAATTGCGGTAATACCTTGGCCAAGGCTCGAGGGGACACGCTTCCAACCGTCCCCTAAATGATGATCGTTATTTCGAGAGAAAACAACTGCGGCGACAAATTTGTTTCCGTTGGCACGTGTGTTTCGGCGGATTAAATACAGCGCTCAAATAATCAACCAGACGACGACGAACATTAATGTCCCGTATAAATGAAGCCTGAAGACGTAATATATACTTCTTGGTACAATTAGATTGCACGTCACATTTGTTCTAACAATCTCAAGCCAAAGGAGCGAACGAGGAAAAGTAAATTCCCCTCGACTGAATCTACCACGGGCGAGGAAGGATTTCTTACATTTCCACCGGAAACCGTTCGGTTTCTTACGGCGATTACGTGATCGGTGCTTCGCCGATATTAATTATGATGATAAAAATTCGACGATCTTCTGCGGATAGTAAAACGGAGAATGCATGCTCAACACTGGATAGAATTAGTCAATGAAAGCTTTCTTCTCTTTCTCTCTCTTTTTCTCGATTTCAATATTGTATCGACAACTAAGAAAGTGAAGTAAAAAGGGACGACGCATGAGAAAGCTCAGCAGGGCGAGACGAGCAGACATCCTAGCGGTGCAAGGCGAGAAGGCGACGGCGGGGAAGACAAGTAGCCTTAAATTGAAAGAGCCTAAAATTGGAATTCTCCTGCCAAAGTTGAGCGCTACGCCTCCAGGGGCTGTTTCGAAGACGAAGTCGATTGCTTCGAGCCATCTTACCTACCAGCCAGCCCTCTCTCATCGCGCGCGAGCTCTCCTCCGCGGAACGGATAAATTTGTGGATGTTTATACGGAAATTACGGGGGGTGATTCCGCAAGCACAGCGGAGGCCGCTCGATCGGCTGTCGCAAATCCGATGACGAACGGGCTTGACTCGGAGCTTTTCGCGAAGCGTCGGCCGAATCACCGCGGTGGTTGCGCGAATGATCGCGCGGAGTTATCGGCGTGCAACGAGGAATCGAATTGCCGTTCGATTCGGTGAGTGAAAACTGGCGCGGACCTGGCGGTGGTGCCTCGTTAAGCGGGCAGAGTAAATCTGTAAAGCTGTCGCGCGCGGCATTTGCAGCGGAAAAGCGATGGCAAATAATAAACACGCAGGGCGTTTCAAGTTGCCGCCCTCGGAACTTCCCTCTGTGTTTGAATCGTTTGACCACTTTGAGGATTGTGTCGAATGCAATGCCATCGAGTGCAATGCAAATAGTACGCATCACACCCTATCATATTTAGTCGTTAATACCTTTCGATTTATCGAGGGCTTTAATCCGATTATTTGGTCACTTGCGTTATAATCTGGCGTAATTGTCAGCTGATCTAATGGCCCGACTTTATTTGTATTTACGAGTTTAGGCGAAAAATTTTTATCGTATTGTATTGAAACAGAATGAGTTCACGAGTCTGTGGCAGCAAATTTATAATGTCTTATCTGGAATTATTATGAGTACAGATAAATGAATAAATAAATAAATAGATAAGTAGTGAGATAATAAGTCAGATAGCGAGAGAAAGTAATCATGAACTAAACAGCAAGAGAGGCTCTCACGCACTTTTGAAACTAACAGTGAAATCTGTAAATCGAAAACTTACTAAAAGCAACCAATCAAAAGAAAATTGCTAGGAGAGACGCCCTAGCGATTGGCGCGTGTACTAGCGAAAGAAAAGGCAAGGGACCGATACGAACGTTAAAAAAGAAACAGCAAGGAACAGACTTGGTCTACGTTCGCAACAAATTTAATTGTAATAAATACGAAACTTGCCGTTGCCCGCACTCAGAGTCCAAGAGTGACTCGCTGGAAAATTTTACCGAGACGTAAATACTAATGTTGCAGCGTTGCAAGGAGCCGCGCTATATTAATGGCGAACAGCTATGCGATTCATAACATAAATAACGCCGTTACACAGAATGGCACTCTCGAGGAAGCGTCACGTCAGCGACGTCGATCGCTCTTAATTTCGCGCGAAGCGAGCCAGTATTTCCACAGTATCCGCGCGGTAATACAAGACATTATTAACAGTATGCAGATAATGGCGTTAGGTGAGGCGGGGTTGTGCAAGAAAAATGAGCGATGTAAGATAAGACGCACGTAAAAGCGCTTTTTAGCGGCGAGAGTATCAATCACTCTCGTCCTCGAGACGAGGGGGACATCGCACAAAAGACTTGACATCAAGTACTTTCCTCACGGAGTCAATTTTTTCCGGAATCCTCGCGGAAGGACGCGTCCCTTCGAACTAGCCGGGAATTAATTACGCTCACTTTCCGCCGTAATTTTCCTCGCCGTGAGTTAATCGCTTCTGTGAATTCGTCCTGGTACAAACGGCAGCGCGTTTCCCTCGGGCATTCCGCCGATATACGCTCGTCGCTCTGCATTTATCGAACATAATAGATCGGGATTTCGGTCGTTTCTTATGATTGAAACGTGGAGAGAACTGCGAGTCCAAGTTTTGCGGATTGACGAACAAAATACGAAAGTCGTGTAGCTGCAAACTCTCGGAAAAGATACGTCTGCTAAAGTTCCACGCCCTAAAGCCCTTTGTTATAGTGATAAATGCGAGCAACACCAGTGCTCGATCTCACGCATAAAATAAAGCGTTAAAGTATTAAGTAGGGCTTACGAGCGCGACTCATAACGATTCACCCTCTCGAGTCAAGTGGCACCCGCTTTCTATCTTTGTCACACTCCCTTTTCGCTTCGTTGCGACGCTCGCGGGGGTTGTCGGTGACAACGAAGCGAAGGAAACTTTTGTTCGGCGCACTCAGGTGTCGTCCCTTCTCTACAAGGTCTCCTTCTCTTTCTTTTATGAACTCCCTTGCGACGGTCGCGCGGCGCGGTCCACGCTCCCATTTATTTGTACAGTAATCAGACACCGCGTTGAAGGTAATGAATTCAATTTTGTTTGAATTATCATATTAAATATTGGGAATAAAAAATAATATGAGAAACGAGAAGCCTATTAGGTCCAAGCAAGTTGTAGATAGGCAAATAATTTTAATATGTGAATTTGTATACCGTCTTTCCTCTCTGTACTACGCGCCGGTTGCCTTCGGACATATAACACACTCTCTAAAGGTCACTCAGTGCATTTAAGTTAAGAAATAATTACTGAATACAGTTTTAGCACTGAATTATTGAGTGTGAGTAGTAAATATTCACTATTTTCAGTGATAATCCACTGATTGACTTTTAGAGAGCAGTTTATTTGGCTATCTACATCTTGCTGTTTGATTTATAATGGTCCTGATTTAACTCTATTTGTTAAAAAATAATAACACGCGTAATAAAGTATATAAAATAAGCGCATAATCAGATGCAAAGATAGGAATTTATTAAACGCGATATATACATAAAACTTGATTTAAAAAATCCAAGTTATCTCTGCCGATTTCTGATTGATGTCAAAAGATTGTCAAACAATCAATTCGTAAATGCATAAGTATACATCGGTCGTAATGTATAAAATATTGAAGAAGACTAATTATACGCTGAGAGCACCCGCCTCCATCGCTTACTCCGTTTCTTCGCGATAAAACTCCAAAGCATGATATTTCGAGCGTGCTTTCGGGATAACCGCAGGACGCACGAAGGCGAAACTACATTCCCACTGCGAAAGCGTTTAAGCGAAGCGCTCGAGGCAACCCCAAGCGCCAGAAACTGAGTGGCGGAGCAATTATAAGCAACGCCGGAAGTCACCGGTCCCTCCGCCCTGCCACCGATGGATGCTCCTCATTCCTTTTGCGTTCGTTGTTACCACCTCTCGCGCTCTCTGACGCCCCTCATCCAATGCCCCCGCGATGCCCTTCGCGCCCGGGGGGTATTTTGTCACCACTGTAATTATATTTCTCCCTTTGGCCGATTCCCCCGGTCGTCCGCGTTACGAAAATATCAATACTATCGTTAGCCGACAAAACGACTCGGGCCACAGTAGGAAGTGGCGTCATGCACGCGGTATATGCAGCGAACGAGACGGTCGAGAGATCGTGCGTGTGGGATGTTTATTTAAAATCTATTGCTGACTCGGTATCTCTAAACGCGACGCTGACACATCGTTCTTGCAACGTTTAACGAATTCGTTTTGTTAACTGAATTTAATCAAGGTGACTGTTTAGATTTGTAATATTTTTTATTATTGAAGACAAAACTTGGCACGATATTACTGACAGCGTATACCTACTTCATATGCAAGGTACACGAAAGTTATTCGAAGGATTTTGTTTTCCTGCGGAAAAATTGTAACCTCCCGACCTTTTTGATTCACTGCACGTCGCGGGAGGAAAATATCGATAAACTTTTCGGACCGGGAACGTGCCACAGTGGGGACGCGTGAACGTGTAACGGTAGCGTGTTTGCTTAACGCAGAATTCATTGAACTGTGAATACAGATAAAAGCGCGACCGCGGTGAATAAAGTTTCATCGTTACCGCAATAACGCCGCACTGCGTAAAAGCATTATTCTAAAGTTATGCATTGTCGCCGTCTGATCACCTTAATTGAATTTTTCATGCAAATTGCTAGATACATACACCATTGTACCGTAACTGAATTACATAATGTATCATGACAGGATAATGCCGAGATGTATAATAAACGCGTTAAATTTGACGGTATAAAGTAAATTGCATTTAATTTGCAGAAATATTTTAAATACAAACAAGAAACGTAAAATCCATTGGGTCCAAGCAAGATGTATAATAGATAGCCAAATAATTTAAATTCACATATTAACATTATTTGGCTATTTACATCTCGCTATTTTATTTTAAATACGCTTAGAAACAAGTTAGGCGCAGAATCAGGTTTCAGTTGTAATCCTTGATGAAGGTAAATCACTTACATTCTCCACAGTAGGACTCGGCAGCGTCCATTGCACCGCGGAAGTTGCAGCTGCAGCGCTCGCGGGACGTCTCTTGTTGACGAAGTCGACCGGTAGACTGTAATCGTCGCACAACGATACCTGCAAGCACAAGCGGGAGAAAATGATATACATCGTGCCCGCTATTACCATTTCCCATCAACCACTCTATCCAATGAGAATTTTCTCTCCAACTTTCATCGCTTTTCGTGTCCCTACTCTTAATAGAGTTTCAAAGTTCTAAGGGATGACTCTCATGAAATGACGCGAACTCCGATAACTGAAAAACTTCGCCCACGCTCTTTAAATCTGCATCGCAGGCTCAATTTTTAATCCCCTATTAGTCGCGCAGAGAATATTAATTCTCACACAGTCGATAGCGTAACGCGACAATAACTTGTGCATATTATTATAGCATATTATAATATTTAATTGTTATATCCCTGCAACACTCGGCCCCTCGAAGAATAGAATTAATTTATTCCGATCGAAATCCTTGGAACAACTAAAGCAAGCCAGTCGTTGCCTCCGCTAATTAGCTTCGACGCTATCGAAGCACGCACCTTTCCCCGAGTGGGGAGCGAAAATACGCAAAATGTTGCTGAAAAAGTGAAAAACGACGCCACGAATATCCGCGGGGAAGTATCCGACATCGAACGGAGGAGGATTTTTGCCACTCGACAAATCGCGGGGGGTAAGCGCCCCAAACCTTCTCCGCATCCTCAAATCCCCGTCGGCGCTGACTGGACCAGCTCATCAGCGGTATTTACTGTCTGTCGGAGAATCGATCTATCGATGCGTGAACGCCTCGTTCCACCTGATGTGCGCGCAAGAACCGAGAGCGCGGCCACGGCCTACGTCTATGCATGCATATAAATCGAGACAATCGCGGATCCCCGGGGGCGGCTTATCGCGTCGGAGACCCGGGAGGGGTGGTGGCCAGAGTCCACGGGGATGCTCGGCTTGCGGAGGGAGTTTTGCGCAGGGACTCTACATGCAAATGGTTCGCGTTTATTGTGAGAGTGGCACCGTATGAATATGTGAAGTGGGAAACGAAACAAAAGAGGAGAAAGAGAGAGAGACGAACGCACGGTCGGAGGACAACAACGAAGGGAATGGGACGAGGAGCGATCGGTTCGCGGAAAAGCGGAAATAGCCACGGAGGTATCGAGAAATGACGCAACTGGCACTTAGCGGCGGAGGGAGCAGCGTGGGGTGGAAAAATCGATTCGCAGAGAGCTGTACCGGAGTATGCAAGCTGCAGCAATCGATAAGTTACTTTACACGTTTTCGGATTGCATAAAAAATATACGGGCTGCACGCGTAGCTTCTCTAAGAATTTCCCGTTGTAAAACTGAGTTCCGTGTTAGACTTAATTTTCAGCACTCATTGTAGTCAGCAGTAGCGTCGGAACGCGTACGGTCGGACGACAACGCGATCGCCGGGCAGGCAACCCGAAGGGATGACATTCGTGGACTATCATTCGTTCGCCGTTGTTAAGTCGCGTAATTGAACCTAAGGTATAGTTTTACTTATTTCACCGGCTTCAGGGCGAGCACCTACCCCTAACTGAACTGCGGCCACTGGCACCGTTGAGGAAGCCAAGTGCGAACTAGGCTGGCTCGATAGGGTGAATTGGAGAAAATCCGAGACAACTGCCAATGAGAATCCACGTAACTGAGAATCATGTTTCACGTTGTCTCAAACATTATCCGTTTATCGATAATACTCGGCTGTACCCGAGTATTTCTACGTTGCCATATTTTAATCTGAACATGCAAGCGAGCAGCGTGAACGTTGACTTTACGGCGGAAGGAGCCTTTTAACTCCGTATAATTTTTATTCCATCAAACCTATGAGTTATTCATGAAATATTAAAATATGATGCGTGACTCGTACGCACCTAGCCGATGCGGTCATAAATCACAGCGCGCGTAATCCCTTAAAGTTTACCGAAATAGATATTTTCGCCGGTGATCCCTGGGTGTCTCCCGAAATGATTTGTTTTCCCGTAAATCTTCGACGCCGCGTGAATTTTTCGAGCGCCCTTGCTATTGAGTGAGGTCGAAAGCTCTCTCTGTGGACTGGCATTTATAAAGTACCTATTTACGTCCTGTTTACCGTGCTAAAGAAACGCTGCGCTGCGGTATATATCGTTATACGAAAGCGAGAGCGCAAGTTCGCGTTCTCCCGCAACGGTATTTCGCGTGGCCGAGATTAAGCCGGAATATTTAGCAAATGTTTCGAATAAATCAAAGCAGCGCAATATGTTCGGAGTTCGAAGCGAGGCTATGTAAATTCATGGTAATACCGCTGGCCACCCTGCAGAGAGGAGTTTCGATTCGCGAAGAGCCGAGAGGGGGTAAAGAGCGCATTGGGGGGCAGACGAAAAGGGGGAACCAAGTGCGACAGCGCGAGTTCGAGGGCAGGAAGGAACAGGGAAAGTCCAAAGGGAAGGACAGAGAGAAGGCAGAAAGTGAAAGATGAGGAGAGAAAGAAAGAGAGAGAGAGAGAGAGCGATGAGCGCGTATTTCATGAACCCCTAAAGCAGCCCTGAGCATTGTGGCGACCGCCACAATCCCATTCATTCTCTTTATGGGCTCCCAAGTATTCGGGAGCGAGCTTGAATAAATCGGAAATTTGCCCCGCGGGGAGCGAGTCGGCTCTCCTCGCGATTTGCCTTTCGGCCTGGTCATTCCCGAACACTGCGTTTCGTTTTTCGCACGCAAAGCGCGTGATACACGGCCATGATCGTTAATCCTGAGCCATTTAGTATAGAAAATCGCAGCCAGATAATCTGAATTGATAATAGGAATTTTGATGCGAGTTCGAAGAGTTGAACGGCGCGTAATGCTCATACGTCTTTCAATAAGAACAATCATTTATAAGCTTTTCTTAAGCGATACGGCCTAACGGGTAATAATCTGATCAATATTCTAGCATATAATAGGCGAGAGGGCTTTCCGTAATGACATCCGGGACAACTATGGTAATAGGAGGCGATATTAGCAATTGTTCTCCGAACTCGAGCTATGAACGGAATGTTTATTCGACGGAACTTCTCCTTATGCAGTTTGTCACATATATCTGTGCCAAAACTGGTATCTAACTGGCCACACTAATCCACTTGATTAATCGCATTCTCGGTGGAAAGAAAGAATTACGTGGTTAACGTAATCATATCAATATTATCAATTTTACTTAAACAAATAATTACAATTTTAAAACAAAATTCTCTCCGTGTATACATAAGATATCTCTTGCAAGGCGACAATTTTTATTCTAACTTTTTCGTAGCATTTCGCGTTATATGAAATATAGTAGAAAATGCAAATCTTCCTTCATAAAATTCAAACAGTGTACTGTATTGCGCACGATTGTATTGGAAGAACCGCCGTAGCACAGTGTAATGGGTAAATTGTGCAAACAGATCGATCACAATGACATAATTAAATCTAACTGCGAAGGGTTACGACTTGAATAGCTAAGGGTTTCGGTGTTGATACCTCTGCAGAATCCCTAAACGCTTGTCATCAAACTGTGCGCGTAACATTTCGAGAGTAAATTTGCGTTGCGACTAGCAAATGCTCACATTGTTTCCTTTCATCGGACGTTTCCTGAATCGAAAAAAAGGATAGCTTGTACAATCATGAATTTGCAGCTTATGCTGTTTCCAGTAGCTGTCTTAAGGGGATG